AGTGCTTTTATTTTAACATTTTATTTATTTATTTATTTATTTCAGGTACTTACAGTGGGGCAAAAAAGTATTTAGTCAGCCACCAATTGTGCAAGTTCTCCCACTTAAAAAGATGAGAGAGGCCTGTAATTGGCATCATAGGTAGACCTCAACTATGAGAGACAAAATGAGAAAAAAAATCCAGACAATCACATTGGCTGATTTGGAAAGAATTTATTTGCAAATTATGGTGGGAAATAAGTATTTGGTCACCTACAAACAAGCAAGATTTCTGGCTCTCACAGACCTGTACCTTCTTCTTTAAGAGGCTTCTCTGTCCTGCACTCATTACCTGTATCAATGGCACCTGTTTGAACTTGTTATCAGTATAAAAGACACCTGTCCACAACCTCAAACAGTCACACTCCAAACTCCACTATGGTGAAGACCAAAGAGCTGTCGAAGGACACCAGAAACAAAATTGTAGACCTGCACCAGGCTGGGAAGACTGAATCTGCAATAGGCAAGCAGCTTGGTGTGAACAAATCAACTGTGGGAGCAATAATGGAAGACATACAAGACCACTGATAATCTCCCTTGATCTGGGGCTCCACGCAAGATCTCACCCCGTGGGGTCAAAATGATCACAAGAACGGTGAGCAAAAATCCCAGGACCATACGGGGGGACCTAGTGAATGACCTGCAGAGAGCTGGGACCAACGTAACAAAGGCTACCATCAGTAACACACTACGCCACCAGGGACTCAGATCCTGCAGTGCCAGACGTGTCCCCCTACTTAAGCCAGTACATGCCCGGACCGTCTGAAGTTTGCTAGAGAGCATTTGGATGATCCAGAAGAGGATTGGGAGAATGTCATATGGTCAGTTGAAACCAAAATAGAACTGTTTGGTAGAAACACAACTCGTCGTGTTTGGAGGAGAGAGAATGCTGAGTTGCATCCAAAGAACACCATACCTACTGTGAAGGATGGGGGTGGCAAACATCATGCTTTGGGGCTGTTTCTCCACAAAGGGACCAGGACGACTGATCCATGTACAGGACAGAATGAATGGGGCCATGTATCGTGAGATTTTGAGTGCAAACCTCCTTCCATCAGCAAGGGCATTGAAGATGAAACGTGGCTGGGTCTTCCAACATGACAGTGATCCCAAACATACCGCCTGGGCAACGAAGGAGTGGCTTCGTAAGAAGCATTTCAAGGTCCTGGAGTGGCCTAGCCAGTCTCCAGATCTCAACCCCATAGAAAACCTTTGGAGGGAGTTGAAAGTCCGTGTTGCCCAGCGATAGCCCCAAAACATCACTGCTCTAGAGGAGATCTGCATGAAGGAATGGGCCAACATACCAGCAACAGTGTGTGCCAACCTTGTGAAGACTTACAGGAAACGTTTGACCTCTGCCAACAAAGGATATATAACAAAGTATTGAGATGAACTTTTGATATTGACCAAATACTTATTTTCCACCATAATTTGCAAATAAATTCTTTCCAAATCAGCCAATGTGATTGTCTGGATTTTTTTTTCTCATTTTGTCTCTCATAGTTGAGGTCTACCTATGATGCCAATTACAGACCTCTCTCATCTTTTTAAGTGGGAGAACTTGCACAATTGGTGGCTGACTAAATACTTTTTTGCCTCACTGTATATAGCGGCATCAATTTATGCAGTGCTTTACATATATATATATATATAACATTTAATTTGGAATCTAATTTCCTGAATTTCATTCAACAAAAATTTTCCATCATGCTCCTCTTGTGACAGTGCTTTCTTGTCATTGTGGTAGAAAATGAACATTGATTTCACCTCACTAACAATTAGAAAATTGAACAAAGGTTCTTAAAATGGAAATTTATGAACAAAATTCTTCTAGCACATGGCCCGCTTTACCATTGGAATAAACACTACGGAATTGCATATGCGTTGGTTGGTATCTTATATCTTACATGGTAGCATGGAGCCTGTGAGCGACAGCCACCCTGTTCCCACAGAGATTATAAATTACATGCAGTTCACTCTGACCAATGTGTCCATACAGTATACACAGATGTGTTTAGATAGTTACCCAACCTGAACTGAAAACTGATCTAATGAGCAGGACAGTTTGTATTTGCCTGGAGATGTTCTCATGTTAATAATTCAGCTATTTTGATTTATGAGTCTAGTCTTAGTACAAACCCTTGAGGGATGATCATTATAAACCAAGATTATTTCATAACTGCTTAAAGTTTGTAAACCCCAACAACGAACTTCTGTTTTTTGCTCCCTTTGCATCTACTAAATACAGCCAGGGCCGGGACAAGGGGCGGGCAGAAGGGATGGCTTCCCTGGGCATTGTGGTATCATGTTGCGGGAGCAACCCGAAGAGATTGGGAGGAGAGGATTTTTGTTGGGAGAGGAAATTTGGAGGTGACAGGGAGTAGGAATTGTTCTAGGAGGGGAAATTTGGGGAGATATGCCAGGTGATTTTGGGGGGGGATTTGTGTTGGGAGGGGAGAAGAGGATTTGTGCTAGGAGGAGGATTTGGGGGGTTTGTGCTAGAAAGGACAATATGGTTGGGAAGGGGGGGATTTGTGCTAGAAAGGGAAAATTGTTTTTGGTGGGGGATATGTACTAATAGGGATGATTGGGGGGTATTTGTGCTAGGAGAGGAAATCTAGGGGGGGGGGAGATTTAAAGCAGGGGGACAGGATTTTTGCACAGAGTGGAAATTTGATTGGTAGAGGATTTGTGCAAGGAGGGGGAATTTGTGCAAGGGTGGGGGATTTGTGCTGGGGCATATGGGGAGAGAAAGCATTTGTGCTGAGAGGGGGGATTTCAGTAGAGGATGGATTTGTACTGGGAGGAGGGGGGATTTATGCTTAGGGAGTAAGCATGCAGATTAGTGCCCGATTTTTTTTTTGGGGGGGGGGAGGGGATGGGTTTTTTGCTATGACGTAATGCTCATACATCTTGGGGGGGGGGGGGGGGGACAATTTGGCATGTTTTCCCTAGGCTCTAGCTGACCTTGTCCCAGCACTGAATTATTGTGAGCTGACAATTTCCTGTGCTTTTTGCCAGTGTGTAAGGAGGAGCTATAGCAATAAGGGAAGAAGGGTTATGGGGGTGAGGAAGGGGGAGGAGTTATAGAGATGAGGAAGGAGGAGTTATGGAGATGAGGAAGGGGGGAAAAAGGGTTATGGAAATGAAGCAGGAGGAGGGGTTATGGAGATGAGCAGATGTGTGTGTTCTTTGTAATCCATCAAAAATAAAATAGGCAGGGCTGACACCACATGCCATGTGAAGGAGGAAGGAAGAAAGGAAACATATTATACTTTAGGCCCATCAAGTTCTTTTTCTATACTTGCAGTGTACTTAGAGGGATAAACTTTGGGAAATGTGCATGTATTCCAAAGATGTACTAAATATGTTTTTTTTTTATTTTGCCTCAGCATATGCTTTAAAAAATGTAGGAAAGTGACTAAGGTCTCATTTACACTTGCAGTTTTTTTTTTTGGGGGGGACACATACATTTTTACCACCCCCAACTGCTCCGCCTTAACTTCTTCAGTTTCAGAGCCATTTTTCCACGTAGTAAAATGCACATTTTATTTATTTAGGCCTGAAGAGTAGATAAACCTCCAAACATTATATATTTTCTGAAAGCTGGCACCCTGGAGAATAAAATGGTGGCAGATGCAATTTTTTTAAACAGTTGCATTTATTGAAATCGTACAAAAATATAAACAAACCAAGGTACATAAACACAGTCAAGCTCGTGGCATACATTAGATAAGCAGTATATACAAACTTTCAATGCTGAGATTCTTACAGAAACAACCTATTAACCCGGGCAGATTCAATAATCACATACATGTTACGGTTCTGATGGTAACAACCCCCAAAAGAAAGGAGTTGAGGAGAAAAGCACAGGGCGGGAGCCGGAGCATGAAGAGAAAAAAAAAAAATAAAAGGGCAAGATGGGGAAGGAGTGGGGGGGGAGAAAAAGAAAGGTGAAGAAGAGAAAGAGATAACACAAACAGTAGCAAATTAGAAAAATAATACAATCTTGTCACAACCTCAAGCGGAGATACCAGAAATGCACCAGAATGCGTCAAGATATCTCCGGATCAGCCCTATGTCAGTCTGCAGATGTTCTATTTTCCTGGTCAGTACCGCTTGACAGTTGGTAGTTGCTGTCATGAGAGAATTAAAGTCTGCGGGTGCAGCAGGTGGGTTGGGCTCTTGTGAGGATGGTGTGACCATGGTTGTTACCTCCTTAGTCCCCATGGGCCAACTGGTTTTTACAGTTTGTGTAGTTTTGGATCTTCTACCAGTGGCCGAAGGCTTACGTCTAGTCATCCCCAAGCCTCATCCGCACCAGCAGGAAAATATGGTTACTATAATAATTGGCTCTTAATATGGGTAATCAGCCCCCCCCGGCCCTCACTAGTGACTAAGTATAAATGAAGATGTGTATATGCAGAAGAAGCACAACTCCTCCCGTGGCTGTCCCAGGACACTATCACTCCAAAGGGGGAGGGTAGATATAGGCCACAGGTAGGGTTGGAGCCTCTCACGAAGACCAGAGGCCCAGACCGCTGCAGGATCCCAGACGCAGTAGAGCAGCCAGGCATGGTGCAGGGTCGTTCACACTTGGGAGATGTGCAACATAGGACACATTTTCGAGGGGAGGGGGGTGTCAATCCCTAAAATTCTGTGCACCAATAAACTGGCAACAAACTTTAAATCCCAAAATTAGCTGTAGGTGACACTTTCAGACATAGGTCATTAGTTCAGAGTTACCTTGAACAATGGGCTTAGAATTATTGCTCTCACTCTGACATATAACCAGCGTAGCACTATCACACTATCGTACGCAGGTGCCCCAATGCATGCTTTTATGTACTTATGTATGTACACTATATTGCCAAAAGTATTGGGAGATCCCTCCAATTCATTGGATCCAGGTGTTCCAATCACCTCCATGGACACAGGTGTATAAAGTCAAGCACCCAGGCATGCAGACTGCTTCTACAAACATTTGTGAAAGAATGGGTCACTCTCAGGAGCTCAGTGACTCCAAGCGTGGTCCCGTGATAAGTTGTCACCTGTGCAATAAGTCCATCCGTGACATTTCCTGGCTACTAAATATTCCACGGTCAACTGTTAGTGGGATTATAACAAAGTGGAAGCAGTTGGGAACAACAGCAACTCAGCCACGACGTGGTAGGCCACGTCAAATGATAGAGTGGGGTCAGCACATGCGGAAGCGCTTAGTGCACAGAAGTCACCATCTGCAGAGTCAATAGCTAAAGACCTCCAAACTTCCTGTGGCCTTCAGATTAGCACAACAACAGTGCGTACAGAGCTTCATGGAATGGATTTCCATGGCCGAGCAGCTGCTTCTAAGCCTTACTTCACCAAGTGCAATGCAAAGCGTTGGATGCAGTGGTGTAAAGCACGCCGCCATTGGACTCTAGAGCAGTGGAGACATGTTCCCTGGAGCGACGAATTACGCTTCTCCGTCTGGCAATCCAATGGATGTGTCTGGGTTTGGTGGTTGCCAGGAGAATGGTACTTGCCTGACTGCATTGTGCCAAGTGTAAAGTTTGGTGGAGGGGGGTTTATGGTGTGGGGTTGTTTTTCAGGCGTTGGGCTTGACCCCTTAGTTCCAGTGAAAGGAACTCTTAAGCCATCAGCATACCAAGACATTTTGGACAATTTCATGCTCCCAACTTTGTGGGAAGAGTTTGGGAATGGCCCCTTCCTGTTCCAACATGACTGCACACCAGTGCACAAAGCAAGGTCCATAAAGACATGGAGGAGCCAGTTTCGGGTGGAGGAACTTGACTGGTCTGCACATAGTCCTGACCTCAACCCGATAGAACACCTTTGGGATGAATTAGAGCGGAGACTGCTAGCCAGGCCTTCTCGTCCAACATCAGTGCTTAACAAATGTGCTTCTGGAAGAATGGTCAAACCTTCCCATAGACACCCTACTAAACCTTGTGGACGGCCTTCCCAGAAGAGTTGAAGCTGTTATAGCTGCAAAGGGTGGGGCCAACTCCATATTGAACCCTACGGACTAAGACTGGGGGGGCCATTAAAGTTGATGTGCGTGGAAAGGCAGGCGGCCCAATACTTTTGGCAGTATAGCGTATAGTTGCATTTATTGAAATCATACAAAAGTGTGTATGTGCGTGTGTATATGTAAGGCTTTAATTTTTTTTTTTTTTTGTTACTTTCCATATTTAAAACTTATTTTCACATAACTTTATTGCCATCACATAGTGACAAAGGGACAAAGTGACCCCTGTGAAAGTGATAGGTTGTGACAAGTTCTGTTTATGCAGCCATCAAGGGTCTATTAGACAGTTGATGTCGCCCCTGTACTTCCCCAGCTAGCACTCTCAGGAAATGACAGCTCTGGACCAGAAAGTGATGTAATCCTCATAGCTTCCTGGTTCATTCACTGGAGGAAGGAACAGCAAACAGATCCAAGGTGCAGATCGTTCTTCAGAAGGAGACACCTGTTTAAAAGAGCTATTTACCTTGCAGGTAGCAAACGACCGCATTCATCCTTTTTTTCTAGCATTTGTTTATTTTTTTTTTTTTACCTTACATCCCAAAAATGTACTACAGAATCTGGTTGTTAGGGGCAACCTAGTTTGTTGAACAAGGCCTAACATTACACCCAGCAGTGACAACAGACAAAAATCACAATGACACCAGGAAAGGTTTTAAATACTGCATATATTTAAAATAGCTTAAAAATTATAATACACCATAAAAAAATAGTCTCAGTACTTTGCAGGACTGTCATGGAGGAGGAACAAAAAAAGGGGATCATTTATTTTACAGAGGAAAAACGAGACCATTATTATCTCTCAGAACTTCCATATACACAGACCTAATCCATAAGGTAGTGCAAAGCACAGCGGCGATATGTTAAGCGCAGTAACCTGTAGCAACCAGATATACGTTAACTGGACTCATTTTGGTGAAAGACGCCTTCTGATTGGTCGCTTGGGATTACTGCACTTTGCACTTCCTGCTTGATTAAATCAATGAGTCTCCTATAATGGCAAAACAGATGGCTTTAATGGGCATACAATCCAAATGGTCACGTTATCATGTTGATTGTCAGTTTCACAAAACAGCCACCCGTTTCCGTGTACAATACACCCAACAAGTCGTCTTATTGCTATTGTCCTCCGAGCCCCTGAGGACACTTCGCCAAAGTGTTCCTAGACAATCATGCAGTTTGGATACTGTTACAGACAAAATGGGCGACTGCCAAGAGCTCACCTGACAAAAATGGGATTACCAGTGTCAAACACTGTTGTCTCTATGCAGCCTACAGATTTGTTACCAAAACTGCAAAAGATACTTGACGTGATATTTACAATAAGGATTTCTCTGCTATCAACAAAGGTTTAAACTGTGCAAAATACTAGCCGTTTACCCTGTTTAAAGAGCGGCGTTCTCCACTCTGCCACTACTGGGATATGACAAAGATGGCTGCTGCCTCTGAGGCATTGCTGAAACCATAGAGTACTTATTAATAAAATAATAAATCACAGTGCTATTCGTTCTGGAAAACTGCATGTGCATTTGTTCTGTGCGAGTGGGGCCACAAACGAATATTAGGCTATTATTTCTCCAGGTTGAATGTTATTCAAATAGCATGAATCAGGTAAATATTGCATTTGGCCACTAGATTGTGCTGATCCTCATTGGAAATAAGTTATTTCCTATGAATATCACCTCCATCTACTGGCCATAATGTGGTACTATCCTGACTCTCTATTCTGTATGGAGAACAACATTTCACTTGGAGAGAAAATAGCTCAATGTTCACTTTTGCCCCTGTTCGCACCGAATGAGTGTACATGCAGTGTCACTGGAGGAACCACCCCGCAAACATTTTAGAAATGCATCCTATAATGTCAATCCTGAGCAGCCAGAAAACAAAAATAGATTCACATTTATGATTTGTGTTTATTTTCCTCTTTGTGCAGCTTTTAACAAAATTGGGGGATACCAAAATCTGCAGACAGCTTATGGTAAAGCTATACCATCACTAGTGGTCCAGAACACCACTTGCCACCTCCCTCGGTCAGATGCCATGCACTTATTCCGAGATCCAGTCTCCGGCGACCTTCCTTGGCCAGGAATGACCTTTGGCTTGACCATCATCGCAGCTTGGTACTGGTGTACCGATCAGGTAATAACCATTGAAGGCTGGTGCCATACTAGTTGCCAAACCAATGACTCTATATACATAAGGAGCATTCTAACCAGAATTCAGGTTGGCTAGCTGGATCTCAAATAACGAATATAAAGTGGCTGTGCTTTTGTTACCTTAAAAACTGTATTACTTTAAGTTCCAATAGGTTACCTTGACCCTACACTGCCGAATTTCTGTCACAGGTCTACAATAATGAAACCAAGACCCTCCACACTAATGTGTTTATTACTGTTGAAGTGCAGGAGTATTTATACACATAGCAGTACCTTAATAACTAATATATAAAAAAATGTAAATCAACGCCAGATTTTGTTTAGAGACCCTGTCACCAGACCATTCAATTCAACAAAAATCATCTCATGGGATTATGTGCCTTTAATATTTTATGCATGTTATTTAACTGTAAAAGCCTCCCTTATGTAAACATCCAAAAGCCCTGAGAATGCTGCTGGGCACCGCCATCTTGGATGTGATGTCAGTAACCCCAGCAGACTCAGAGCTGTCAATGCTATAGCAGCCTTTTTCAACCCTTTTATTCCAGAGGGACTCTTGAAATTATTATCAGGTCTAGGGGAACCCCTGCTAACAATAATTAATTGGAGACAGTGGTAAAAATTTCCCCTTCACAGTTGAAGTCTCAAAGCCACCCTTACAGACAGCTATTAAAAGGTCATTGATGGAATGCTGCTGGCTCTTCCAAGTGATCTTGGCTTCAGAACTTTGCATACTTCATTAAATGGGAGGTCAACCAACCGCAGATTGAGGAAATCCCAAGCAACGTCTGGAGGAACCTAGGTTGAGAATGGCTGCCTTTTAGTATTCTCCTTCGTTTCCTTGTGTAGATAACCAAAAGCCCTGAGACTGCTGCTGGGCACCACCATCTTGGATGAGATGTCAACGCCTCCAGCAGACTCAGAGCTGTCACTCTAAAGCAGCCTTACTCAACCTTTTTACTCCAGAGAGACCTTTGAAACAATTATCACATCTAGGGGAGGCCCTGATAAGAACAATTCATCAGGTGCAGTGGGAAGAATACCCCCTTTACAGTGGTGGTCACAATGTTATACTTACAGAAAGTTAAAAAGTCCAATGCCGCTGGCTCGTCTACATGATATTGGCTCCTGGAAATTTGCATCCACCATTAAATGGGAGAACTACCTGTCACAGCTCAAGGAACCCTTAGCAACTTGGAGGAAGTCAAGGGTTCCAAGGAACCTTGGTTGAGGATGGCTGCTCTATAGTATTCCCCTCCGTTCCCTTGTGTAGATAACCAAAAAATCCGTGCCTGCTGCTGGACAACCACCATCTAGGATATTAGCACCCCCAGCAGACTCAGAGTTGTCACTCTACAGCAGAGGTTCTCAAACTTTTTATCCCAGAGGAACCCTTGATATAATCAGGTCTAGGGGAACCCCTGCTAAAAACAATTTATTGGGGTAAGTGGAAAATATACCCCCTTTACAGTGGTGGTCACAATACCATCCTTACAGACAGCTAACATAGACCATTGATGGAATGCTGCTGGCTCTTCCAAATGATAAATTTTCCCTGGAACTTTGCAGCCACCATTCAACAGGAGGTCATCCAACCACAGATCAAGGAACCCCCAACAACCTTTGGAGAAACCCTAGAGTTCCAAGGAACCTTGGCTGCTCTACAGCATTCCCCTTTGCTCCTTCCCTGGCAGCTTGTTATGCAGAGAGGTGAAGGGGGGAAAATAGCAGGGCCAGTACAGAGAATAATTACATTTTACTTTAAGAGGACAGGGCTGTGATGTGGAAGGACGCTGGGGACTGTGCTAGGGAATGGACTCCTGGAGTATTTGAGCAAGACCCAACTTACTGCCAGGGTCAAGGTTTTAAAGCCATAGACAAGCCAAGCAGCTAGCAAATTTTAAGGGGTCAGCATTTGCAGTCTTGTATTTGTTATAGTACAGCTTTAGGGTGGGACAAGGGGGTACGTGCCCGATGGCATCCCCCTGAGGATATGGAGCCAAACAATTCAATATGAGGCCTTCCCTTTTCCAGGTAACATTGGCTGCTACACTAGGACATGCCCAACCCTGCAGGCCCACATGCTTTTATTGATCCCTCCAGTGAGCATGATGCACTTTTACATTCAATGCCTATGTATATGAGGCTTAAAGTGATACTCCAATT